AGTTGAAGTCCACAAGTCTTAAAGTTGCCAAGGTTGGACACCCCTGCTTTAAGTTGTGACAGCCATAAAACAGGTCACCAACTTAAGTTGTGATGGTTGCTAAGCAAATGCCATGGTTGTTTAACAATCAATGGGCCATTTTTACCAAAAATCAAAAGTAAATGCCGGTTTTCAGCAAAAACGTCATAAGATTATGTGATTTCAGGGTGCTGTAATCAGTTGTAAATGCGGGCTGGTTGCCAAGCACCCAAAGTATGGTCACATGACTGCAGGGGCGGCATCCTTCAGAACCAGGTCACAAGTACGCCCCCCCAGGGAATACCCCCATTGTAACTCTCTAAGATACCAGTTGTAAGCTGAGAACTAGGATCACTATTTACATTAAGATATTGGAAAAAGAGATGTAGAAAAACTTGTCCAAAGCCAGGTGAATCCTAAGGCAAAAACTATCAAAAATCACCATTATTTTAACTTCTATATTACAAAAGCTATACTGTTTTCCCTGGATTGATGCTTATTGTAACAAGACTTTAGCTCCAGGAGAAAGCATCTTGAATTGGTATTTATCTGTGCTTTTTTTTTTTAGGTGACCATGGCAGACCTTTGCTTGGTTCCCCAAGTATATAATGCTGAGAGGTAAGAAAAATGAAATTCCACAAGCTCTAAGGGAGATGACTGTCTCAGTGGTCCGATAACATTTGGCAATGCCCATAGAGTAGAAGATTGGGGAATCTCAAAATTTCTCTCCCAAAAGTCTTCTGGGTCTTCCTACCCTGGTCTCAATTCCTGATTTGGGGCAATTCCCCAAGTTGGTAATTCCCGTTGGCACCACCTAATTTCCAAGGAATGTTTCATGTCTTCCCCTTAGCCCCATTAGGTAAACCAGACCAGAAAAATTAACTCCGCATGGAAGTTAAACTTATATTTATTAAGATTGGCAATAATAACAGAATTTGATTGTCCTATCCCACCTCTCCTCCTTATATTCTAATAAATTAGGAAAAGTCTGCCTGAGCCACTTCTGAATGTGGTCCTGTTTGGGACTTTTAAAAATGTTTCAGCTTCTCTGCTTAGGTGACAGTTTTTGCATATCTCCATCAAGATCCTCTTCCTTATTCTCCACACATTGCCCTTTCTGGTAATTAAAAAGTAAAGAAAAAATAGAAATGATTTCAGTTAATGCTACCTTAGTGCCATGTAGTACATAAGTGTGTCAGTAGGGGTGCTAGAGTCTAACAATCATATGACTGCAAAGAATATAAATCCTTCCATTCCCCATCAGTTAGTTCACAGGTATCAAACTTGCCACAGCACATTGCCATCACATGTTGTTTTGTGTTTTTCCCATTTGAGCGTGGTGCATCTAGCCTGCAGGCCACCAGTTTCACACCCCTAAGTTAGAACTGAAGAAGCTTCTTGGATGAGAAGCAAAACGTTTTGAAAGGGAAAAACCCCATGAAAATCCAGTTGCCTTTTGGGGGGAAAACATCTTTGTGTAACTAGAGGTTTGTTCCTTCTTGCCCTCAGGAGGTAACCAAAATCAAATTTTATTTAAAACAAAAAGATAAAATGTACCCTACTATTAACTTTTAAAAAGTGAATACATTCAGTGCTGTAGAAAGGACTTTCAGAGTTGCCCGGATCAGGTTTAGCAACTAAATAGAAAATTTATAAAAAGATGCAAAACACATGCTCCAGGCAGACCACAATAGAAAATTCTCTATTAAAAGACAGGGTTCAGATCAGCATCTGCAAGATCTACTGCAGAGGTCTGGCTGGAGAATTCTGGGAGTTGAAGTCCAAAAGTCTTAAAGTTGCCAAGTTTGGGGACCTCTGATCTAGTGTGTTTGTCAAAATGACTAAATGAGCATTGTGCTATGTGCTCCTCCTATTTCATACAGTGTGTGATATTACAATGCTTGTTTCAGTATTTGTGTGCACACACACATCCACCTTATTTGGACAAGTGATACATATAACAGTTATAAAAATACCTTCTGATTAATTACCAGAGGTTTGATTCAAAACTGATATAAAACCTAATTTTCTAAAATGATAGAATATAAGAACATTACATTTCTCCTCACAGTGCACAAAAAAAGTCTATTCTATACCCTGTCCACAACTTTCTACCAAAATATCCATTTTTTAAAGCAAAGACTCCTGCTTCCTTTGACCTGGGCTTCCATTTTTCTTGGCAATTCCATGATATTGATCTTCTCTTTACTCCACCACTGTTCACAACTTCTTCAGCTTTTCCTCCAGTTCTGCCCTTATCTTTTTTTTCACTGCCTGAATTCTTCTAAATCCAGAATGTTAAGCCACTAACAGCAGTTACAAGGAAGAAGGCTAGATTCTCAAAGTTGTGTTAGTCAGGCTTATTGCAAAGGAAAAAGGGCTTCCGTTGCAGAAATTTGGAAACATAGATTTAGTGTGTTAAAGGGGGAGCTCCTTTTTGCCTTTGCTTCTCTTTTTAACTCTCAGATTTAGGAGACAGATTGTTACCCTTTAGGATGTGTGAAAGGAATAGCCGTCTGTTCTTTTTCTGCAGTATTTTGGAAACATTCATTCCTGTTCTTCTTGTATTCATATAATAAGAGAATTCAAGTATATAAATAAAGGGAGAGGCTTTGTTGTCTCCCTTCATTGATCTCTTCACTTTTTTTCTTTGCCAATTACCACAATGCAAAATATGTTATTGTGAACAGACTGTAAAAGATCTTTGTTTTGCATCCTGCAAAATGTATCTAAAACACAATGACTTGGTCTTACAGTAACACAGATGTGCCTAATGCTTAATTTCTCTTAGCAGATTTAAAGTGGACCTGACTCCATACCCCATCATAAGCAGAATCAACAAAGCTCTCCTAGAATTAGAAGCATTTCAAAGCAGCCATCCTTCCCGGCAGCCAGATACACCTCCCGAACTAAGATCCTAAAGTTCTTCAACTGCTTGTTTTACTGTGGGGAAATTGATCCAGAATTAAATCTCTCCTGTTTAAGATTTTCTGGGGGAAAAACATGAGGGTTTTGTCTGGAAGAGTCTGACAAATCTAAGACTTTAAAAAAAAAGGAAGGGCAGTAAAAAAAGGCACTAATTGTAGAGTACATAGCTGAAGTAAAATAAACTTTTGATCATGTGTGTCAATTGTAATGCAGCCGTGAAGCAGATCAAAAGATAAGAGCTTGTGGGCATTTCTTGTGAAGTTCAAAAAAAGGCAGTGTTGCTTTGTGTAAATAGCAAAGGTATTAATATAAAGTTAAAAGACATGAAAAGGCAGCAGTCTAGATACCAGGAAGCAAATAGTGATTGGGCGTGAAAAAGAACAGTCACACGTCAAAAGTTTGCCAGCTTTTAGTCTAATAGCCTACTGTTCAATGCATATGTCTTTTTCAGTGTTACTAGGAACTGATTTAAGAACTTTCACAACAACTTTTATGTGTTATCTAAGCAGCAGCAAACTGTATCGCTACTTTTTGGCAAAATTTGGTGATGCATTTGGAGTTGCTTTAGAGCCATAAGTTATCCAGACTTGCCTTATAGTGTCTATCATTAGCCAACATATATCAGCATTTCAAAAATATTGAAAGTTAGAGAACGTAAATACTGTACTAACAACAGAAGTTCATGCAATAAATTGGCAGGAGTTAGAAATTTTCTGATCCTCACAGGGATTATACTGTAGATTTCCCAGAAAAAAGGACACCGATTTCTAAAGAGTTAATTAGCGCTATGCTCCTCAAACAAAATTCTATGGTCTGCAAAAGGCATATAAAAACTTCAAAAGGATTGTTTTAAACGTAAGATTTTTCTTCATATCAACGGCCAAAATCTATATGTTCAAGTTCAAATTCTTATGCTTGCTTTATTAGTTTTGGCAAAATGTAAACAACTTTTATCTGAGGCATGAAGAAAAAATAAATAAAATGGGTTAGAGGAAGGAGAGAACAAGAATAAACCATATGTATAAACACATTGGGAAATCCAAACCAACGTATTTCAGAACAATATTAAGATGTCATTGATCAATCATTCCATGGAAGCACTGAGCCATCTCCAAAATACCTATTTTGGTGGTGCTCCCTCTCCTTTGCCAGGGTTAAAAACAGAAATAGCTGAGATAATGACCGCAAAGTGAGAAGCTGTGCACCTGCCTCATACCTATCCATGTTAAGAATAAAGATGGGCTGACATCTTTGTGACACACTTTAAATCTAGACTAAGGTCTAAGACCGTGTTTCTCAGACTGGCTTACTTTAATGTGTGTGAACTTCAGCTCCCAGAAGTTTAGCTCTCAGTCCACATATCTTTAAAGTTGCCAATTTGATCTAAGAAATCAAACCTTAAAGCAATGTCTGGTATAGCCTCAACAGCCCTGCTCTTTTTGACATAGTTATCAATTCATTTTGATTCTTCTGATGTCCAGTTGTTTCTGTTGTTCCGTGTCTTGATCTTGCCATGGAGTCAAAACAATTCAGCTGGGCTCTTCGCAGGCACTTACTGGTATTTAGCTTTGAAAATCAAGCTGGAATTTATTTGTACTGTTGTAGAACTTGCCGGCACGGTCTGAACCTCCAAAGACAAGCACTGTGCACAAGTTGTTTTTGCTCTGTTTCTGCTTATCCGTGTGTGACAGGTTAGTGCAAGTTAAATTGAGCAGTGTGTGGCCTGCCCTGGGCACAGCACAAAGAGCACTATGCTTAATTGCACTCCAAGTCAAGGTATCTGCAAGGGAAAGAAAACGATGAGCCCTGGCAAATGTTTTCTAGGACCAAGGGGCAGTTTTGTGGTAGAATTTTATAACTTACCTAAATGGAAGATAAATGCATCCTGAAAGGCTGCTCTGGCATTACAGCCTCCACTTATCAACATTTTTTGATCAGAGATTTGGATAGCAGCATGGAAACTAGAAGCCAAATAGATCATCTGAAAATTAGCCACTTCTAATTAGCATTGATAAGCCTTGGACGCAAAGGTATAGGGTAGTCCTTGACTTACGACCATAATTAAGCCCAGAATTTCTGTTGCTGAGACATTTGTTAAGCCAGTTTTTCCCCCATTTTACGAGCTTTCTTGCCCCAGTTGTTAAGTGAAACACTGCTGTCATTTAAGTTAGTAAAACGGTTGTTGAATGAATCTGGCTTTCCCATTAACTTTGTCAGGTGGTCGCAAAAGAGGATCCCATAATCCCATAACCGTCATAAATATGAGTCAATTGCCAAGCGCCTGGGTTTTGATCATGTGACCCCGTGGGGATGCTGCAACGGTTGTGTGAAAAATGGTCATAAGCCTTTTTTTTCTGTGCCGTTTTAACTTTGAACAGTCACTAAATGAACTGTTGTAAGTCAAGGAGTACCTGTATTCATGTATCAGATTTACTTCCCAAGCCTAAGAATTATGTTTTCTAGTCAGCTATGCCCAGTCCTTTATTTTTTCCAAATGTACTACATGCTTAGTCCCAGATTCTCTGAATCTCTATCTTTTTATATGAAAAAGCATATTAGACTGGAGTAATTTGAATGGACTTGCAATCACAACTGGGAAGAAACTATTGCTGAGTGATGCAGTCATTAAGTGAGTTACACCTGATTTTACAACTATTTTGGCAGCAGCCATTAACAGAACCATGTGGTTGTTAAGTGAATCTAGCTTCCACCGTTGATTTTGCTTGCTGGAAGTCCCCTGGGAAGGTAGCAAATGGGAATTATGTGACGCACACCCCACTCCAGGATGCTGCAATTGTCATAAATAACATGCCCTTTGCTTTGCATTTTGATTACACTACCACAGGGATGTTGCAACTATCATAACTGGTTGTGATTTTTTTTCAGCCCCAAATTTTGATGGTCATTACGTAAATGGTCACAATTTGAGATCACCCATAAAACAAATGTATTTATATTTCATATTTCTTAACTGGCTATCTCCCTCAGAGAAGCGGGGGGGGGGGGGGGGGGGGGGGGGGGGGCAGTAGGACATGCCCCCCCTGCGTCTCTTAAGGGAGATGGCTTGGGCCTAGTGAAGTTCTCCAATTATATAGAGGGATAGAGTTAAGACTTTATTTAAATTTCATTCTAGCCATATTTATATCAGCATCCTTTACCAGCATGTATAGAAGGATTAACATCTGCAAAGTTTCCTAATCAATGCTTTTCCTTACAAACTGACAAACTTTCAAAGAGTAAGAGTTTAAAATTCATTCCTTTATCTCAACCTAGAGATGCCAAGATGGGCGGCCATATAAATTTGTTTTTTAAAAAACTGTTTCAAATGTATTTGCTAGCATGGCATAGTTAATGAAAGTGAGCACATATACAGTAACACCATGAGCAGACCTGCGAGCAGAAGGCTGTCCAGAGAAAGATGGAACTGTTTTATACTCCATAAAACCTAGAAGTAGGAGATAAAAGAATTAGAAGATGCTTTGGACCCCCACACAAAAAAATCTGTCTCACAAGTTTTATAGCACCTCAAAAAGACCGAGCTAAAGGGCATATTTGCATTGATGAGCAATAACGAAAAGTGAAAAGGGCGCAGAGTGCATGGATACATCATCTGGCAACTAAATTATTCTGTTTCACAAAAACTGCCATTAAATATTGCAACACCTTTTTGCTCTGTTGCCATAAAATTAACTTCCTCTCTTTAAAGGACTTATAGTCCAAGGATGCAGTTTTGTTTCATTATCCTGAGCATCAATCCTGTTTCAAGACCTACAGTCCTACAAGTGCTATAGTCAGATCGTTATTACTGCCTTTCCCCCAAAGTGAAATTATTCCCATTTACCGTTTATGGAGATTCTTGTTTTTTTCAAGAGGGCAACTGGACTTTCTGGTTTTTCTCTGAAGACATTTCATTTCTCATCCAAGAAGCTTCCTCAGCTCCGTGTCCACTTCTTAGATGAGCTGCTCAGATGAGAAGCAAAATGTCTTTAAACAAAAAACAGAAAGTCCAGTTGCCTCTTGAAAAAGTACCTTTGACACTCCTATTTACTATTCTGTGAGTTTTCCTCATGTGTTGGCAGCTTCCATTTCAGGCTAATCTTTTGTTTTCATCAAACTGAGCTGCCTATAAGGGTGTGTTCTTGACCCTGTCCAAATCCAGATGACATTTGAGAAGGCAAGCATTGTGCTCTTCTTACCTAGATCAAGGATGTGTGTGTCATTCAGGTATGTAGAAGTCCTCTGGCCTCCAAATATGACTAATTTGTTCTTCAACAAAGTAGCTGAGTGACTTTGAGATAAGGGCAGAGAACGTAAAAATCAAACATACTTAGGTAGAAATCTTGTTCATACATTATTATTTGATACTTTGACAGGAGAAATGCATCAACTAGCCAACATTTTATATTCCACTTATGTTGATTATTGAATGTTTCTTTAAAATAAAAATCAAGGACACAAACTATCAGAAGGATAATCTGATAGCGGGAATGACATTAACTAGTATATTCAAGAGTCCACAATGGTGGTTTATTCTATTACTGTTCCTATTTTTGGTTTTCTGACATTTCTAAATTTATAAATGGAAGCACCAGTAAAAAAGGGAAGAAGGGGACCAGAGAAATCACAAACTTTCCATTATGAGTGAAAGTGTCTTGCCATTCATGACAAATGGATCTATCTTAAAATCCTTCCTTCTGCTATGGCTAAGAGATAAAACTGATTTTCAGTGCTAAGCAATAATGAGTGGGATAGGGGAAAAAACAATGGCTACAAAAAGGAAATAAGTACATAAATGCATATGATTATTTAAAATGAGTTCTGTAGAAAGACTCAAATGGTAGGTTTATCCAAGGCTCTCTCCGTGTGATTTTGAAGTTATCGAAGGAATATTATACGACAGTATGAAAAAAAGAAACACTTCTAGCTAAAATAAAAGTGCATGAAAAAGAAGTCCTGCTTCACTTTTTGGCGGAGAAAAAGACCAAGGAAATAAATCTTGCCTATTTCAGAGTCCTCTGAGTTCAAGACAAGATGCCTCACCCAAGCCTTGGCAGAGGCTTCTCCCCCTCCACAATAGGTTGGTACCAAATCTCATAGTCAGGGTTGAAAATAAAAAGTGCATTACTGCAGGCGCCCATCTCCAAGGACAACATTTTAGGGAAAGCTCCTCCAAAGACAAATAATTCCTTACGATAGACAGTTGCACTGTGAAAGGCCAGAGTGGGTACTTTCCCTTTAGCCTGAGAAGAAAGAAAAACTCTCATCACAACCCAAGTCAGCAGGCCAATCTGACTTAACATCATCAGCAGTGGGCACTCTCCTGCTCTCAACAGCATTACTGGATGGCATCCCTCCAGTTTCTAACTGTATATCATGCCCCTGGTGGAGACTGACTCTGAGTCAGAGGTGGAACAGCCCACAGGGAGTGGAAGTGTGGCTCCGGAGGTTGTGGAGGAGGCTGGGGAAGGGACCCAGGCCCATCCCCTCTCCATCCTAGGACACACAGGGAGGAGAGGATAAGGGAGAGACATGGTCTACTCAGGAGGAGAGGGCTTTGATCCTCTTCATGGGCTGCAGCTGTGACAACTGAATAAGAGGACAGACAAGCATACAGGCGAATGCTGGAAACAAAGCGTGAAAATATCTCTAGTTTATGGTTCCTCTCTGAGTTTGGCATCCTTCCCAGTGTGTGTTATCTGTGGACGTACTCCAGCCCTTATCTTGCTTGGTTTGTGTTGTTTTTTTCCTTCTTCTTGTAACTGTTTGGGAGTTTTTTTGTCTTCCGTCAAGAGTATTCGGAGCTTGGAAGCAAAGTGAAGGAATAAAAGGGGCTTCACCTGTTTTCTGTGACTGCGTTTGTTTTGTATCCCACCCTGGATTATCACACTGTAATCTATCAGAAAAATTTCATCTGCTCTATTTACTTCCCTTTTCTGTGTCCTCGTTGAATTATTCCACTTTTTGCCATTGTATTTGAACTCTTATTTGTTACAAAAAAAGAATAAGAAGATTGCAAGAACAAAAAAATAGGCACACAAAAAGCAAGTTGAAGCTACACTTCCACAGTGCCCAATGTTTGGTTTCTACTCACAAAAACATGAAGCCATTTCCAAGATGTTGTATCTAAAACATAGATGCTGTTGTAGTGTCTCCCTTCTTTTACACCTCCAAATATGTAGATGCGCTTGGTATCTGGGTCATAAGTGGCACTGTGACCTCGGGAACACTGTGGTATGGAATTTTGCATTGGGAAATCCATAGGGAACCAAAAGTCATTATCTGTGAATTAAAAGATATATGGTAAATAGAGAAGATGCATAGTCTTATATTTGTGAAATTCAGTGACATTTTCCTTAAGGCAACCCCCAATGCTATTCAATGAAAATTGATTCCAGTAACTTTAAACTCAAATTGTAAGACAGCTAATGGTCCCTTCAATATAGAAGATTTTGAAAGTTTTCTTCCCATGACTTGCCAACAAGGCATATCATTATTAGAACCACAGAAGTATCTCACCAATCTCCAGTTTCCAGAGAACATCTTTGCAGAATTGTTGATTAGATCCTTCACCACCAATCAAAACTGCTGTATCTCTGTCACACAAGCACATAGCATGATACCATCGAGCACTTGGACAGGCTAAAGACAACAAGTAGAAGTAGAGTCAGACAACAGAACCAGGCCACAGAAACCATTTCATTGTGGATGAATAATTGAGGAAAACCTATTCCTATAAGCTTAGTCCATGAAAGATACTTGCATGCTACCATAATTAACACTATATGAAATGGCCATTCTTTGTTCATTCTTTACTGAAATTTACTGAAATATCAGTATCAAACTATTGTTCTTCCATGAAAGAGATAACTTTTTCCTGATCAAAGTTGCTAGCCTGATCCAGTCAGTCAGAAAATGCCTACCAGGGACTCCACTTATCAGGAGATGCGACATGAGGGGGCCAAAAGGAATAGAAGCTGCTTTCTTATTTCCTGACACACAAGGTTAGTGATCCCAATTCTTATGGTCTTTCAAAAAATTGAAAAAACCTGGCTTTCTCTGAGGGCTTTTCAGGATTCATCCAGGAGTCATCAATGTAAGTTTCATTTTTAGATTTTGTCAGATACATTATTGATATTTTGTGTTACTGTATTTTTATTACTGTTAAATTATATTGTTACCGTATATACTCGAGTATAAGTCAACCCGAATATAAGCCGAGGCACCTAATTTTACCACAAAAAACTGGGAAACCTTATTGACTCGAGTATAAGCCGAGGGTGGGAAATGCAGCAGCTACTGGTAAATTTCAAAAATAAAAATAATTAATTTGGGAAACGATCTCACTATCATGAAAGGTTTAATTGATTCACTAACCCAAAAGAAGATGATGATGATGACAGCGGGAGGCAAGAGTCACTCTCTTCCCCTCCCCTCGGAGGCCCCCTGAGTCAGGAGTCGCTACCGCCGGCGCGGCCCCAGTCCCGCATCGCCTCGGGAAGGGAAAGGCAAAAAGGAAGAGGCGCGGTAGCACTTTGCAACGGCAGCAGCGGCACCGGAGGTTCAGGCTCAGCGGCTCCTGGTTTTGCCCCACCCTTCCCAAGGCAACGCGGGACCGGAGCCGCACTGGCGGCAGCAACTCCCGACAGCCCCAGCCGGACACCTGAGCGGAGCCCGGGCGGAACTGCCTGTTGCCGCCGTGGGCGCCGCTGCGGGCCCCCGGCTGCCCAAGTAAAGAACAGGGCGGCGCCGGACCATCGGAGAAGCGGAGCACAGCCGGAGACCAGCAGCCGCCTCCCTTGGTGCAGAAAGCCTCCCCCAACCAGCTGGCCGGTCTCCTCCTCCTCGGCCACACAGAACAAACAGGCAGAGAAGGAGGAGAGCAGCTGGCCAGCCGGGGGAGGCCTCCCGTGCTGCGAAAGAGGCAGCCAACGATCTCCGGCGCCGCCCTGCTCCACGCGCTGGTTGCTCAGACTTGCCGGGCCCGGCACATAGAACAGGGCGGCGCTGGACCATCGGAGAAGCGGAGCAAAGCCGGAGACCAGCAGCCGCCTCCCTCGGCGCAGAAAGCCTCCCCCAACCAGCCGGCCGGTCTCCTCCTCCTCGGCCACACAGAACAAACAGGCAGAGAAGGAGGAGAGCAGCTGGCCAGCCGGGGGAGGCCTTCCGTGCTGCGAAAGAGGCAGCCAACAATCTCCGGCGCCGCCCTGCTCCACGCGCTGGCTGCTCGGACTTGCCGGGCCCGGCACATAGAACAGGGCGGCGCCGGATGTTGGAGAAGCCGAGCGGAGCCGAAGCCACCTCGGCTCGCGTTGTTTTCTGAGCCCGCGAGCCTAGAGCCAGGGCGCTTTCATTGCACGGCGGAGCTCCTTGTCTCAGGAAAATCCGGGCGTCGTTGCTGCCCCCTGAGGGGAGGGCAATTCTGGGCTGCGCGATTGGGGACTTCGTGGCTTTGGGTGGGAGCGAGGACGGACGGAGTCCGTGAAGTGGGGCTTGCCTGCCCTTGCTGGCTGCTTCTGCTTCCTTAGGGGCGGGGAAGGGGGCTCATCTGGACCAAGGGTGAGTCTCCCCCTCAGTTTCCCCTGAAGGATCTTCGGTCGCTTTTGCCTTCTCCCTACATCTTCCCTCTGTTAAAATTCCCCCCACACACACACACACTTATTTTCGGGCGGATAGATTTCATGTCTGAGCATTCTCACATGACGGTGGGTCTTCTCCCCCCCCTAAAAACAGTTAAAAAAAGAAAAAAATATATCCTCATGCAAGAACTTTTCTGCTTCCGATTACCCCCATGCTTAAAAGTTGCAAAGGAAACATGGAAGCAGGGAAGCGCCTGCCCAGCTCCGGAGCTCCACACCATTTTTTTTCAGAGGGGAATCTGACTCGAGTATAAGCCGAGGGGGGTTTTTTCAGCACAAAAAATGGGCTGAAAAACTCGGCTTATATACTCGAGTATATACGGTATTTATGTTTTAATTACATTAAAATTTAACATTCTGAAAAATGAAAAAACAATTTCCTAAGTATATCTAGTGTCTTTCTATAGGTAGTCCTTGGCATCCTAGAACACACCTTCTAATTCTTTTAAACTTTCTGAAGGTCCTGTAATAAATGAGCACAAATTTAAATTATTGGTTTAAAAGATTGTCCTTGTGTGTGTTGTATCTTTGTTGCCCCTAAGAGGTAAAACAATCAGCAGTTTAATGTTTTAACTATTTTTATACTATTCTTCCTCCTGAAGAAAGGACAGAGTATAATGAAATGAACAAACAGAAAAACTTTACTTTCTCATCCAGAAATATGGAATATTAATTACAATTCCATATATAACTCACACAAGATGGATATTAAACACAACTAAGAATTGCTGATCTAGACACACCAAGCGAAGTTCAATAAAAATATTTTTTAAAGCATTTTACCTTGCAACTCTTTAACCTCCAAATCTGCAGAGAAAATGCACAAAATAATTTTTAGTATAAAAGCATCTTACTAATACTAAAACTCCATTTTCCTCAAGCTGAGTATGGCAGGGCTCCACCCACATGCACTCCCAGTCAGACTTGATGCCTAAGAGACTGTATGGATAAATCCATGCAGTTTTCTAGGCATCATTTTCAGAAATAATTTATGATGCTTTCCTCCTTCACTTGCACTAAGACTGAGACTGAATGACTGGTCCTGGCAGGAATAGAATTTTGTTCTCCTTGCTTTTTGTCCAGCACTTTAACATTTGCGTTTCTCAACTTTGGCAACTTTAAGATGTGTGGACTTTAACTCCAGAATTCTCTTTGCTGGCTGGGGATTTTGGGAGATGAAGTCCATACATCTTAAAGTTGCCAAAAATAAGAAATAATGACCTGGACCCAAGCTGTCTCTTATGCCAGTATTACCAGACTCAAGATTTATGTGTTTTAGAATGCACATTCAAGCTAATTTAGCCTAAATTTAATAGCTTTATAGCCATAGTTTTTGATGCAAAGTACTGAAATATTAACATTTATTCTAAACACATGAACCTTCGCTTTACCTGTACCATGAATTAGAATGCTGCACAAATAAATCCTTTGATGGTGATACCTGTTAGGAATATAAGTCACCTAACAGTTATTTGGGTTGGAAATATATAAGCCAGGATAGACATTTTAATACTATGTCTTTAAGAGAATGCTAAACCTGTAATTGGGTGTGGTTTCTCAAACGGCCATAAGATGGAGCCAGAAACCTGGGTTGTTTAGTCTTAGTCTTAGTCTCAGAAGAAGTCTCAGTGAGTCTCTTTTTCCTTCTGTTGGAGAGTATTGCCGTTCCTCTTAATTGACTGATATTCTTGGATTTGATGTAAGTCTGTTACTGAACTGTTTTTGACACTGGACTTTGTCATTGGATTATCCCTGGACTGAAAACTGACTGACTTACCTGTGAATGACTTTGGACTGCTTATCTTGAACTTTGCTTAGACATTTCTGGAAGTAAAAACCTACATTTACTGTACAGTGTATCTGTGTGCTGTGTGTGTATTATTCAAACACTACTCTCAAATACGTCTCCCTGTATGCGCTCATTCTCCTAACGGGGAATTACCTCAACAACACCCAGTGCAATGTGTTGGAAAAGATAGTAATGCAATTTCAGCCATGAAAGATGACTGAGCAATCTAAGGCCGATCACTGTTGCCCAGCCTACTTCACACAAGGTGTTATTGTGAGTCAAAATGGGATAATGGAATGCTGTGACAATACGGCTATTTAGTTTTGCAAACAGGTAACTGAAAACCTTTTACCTTCAGTTTCATCTTGTCTATGGGTTGCTGAGACTTCAAATAGAGTCCTTCTGGTTTTATTTAACTGAATAAGGTTAGGTAGACATGTTTTCTTCTTAGCCTGCCGCTCTGTAGGAGCAGGTAGCATCAGTAGCTTTTCCATTGGTGGAGAGTAGCTCTTTTCGAGCACAGGTTCTTTGTGGCACATTGAGGAACTCTGATTTCTATCCTGCCCATCAGAAAACAAGGTAGAATTACATCAGAAATTATCCAGGCCCTATAAATGCTCCATAAACTGGATTTCTGAAGATTTCAGCAAGACCCAACCAGCCACTCTGGGAGGGAGCATGTTGAATGTCTTGTTTGATTTGGCAGGTACACATAGAGTGAAGCATCTTGTGACATTCATTTCCTAAAATTACTGTGGGCTCCAGGAACCATAGACTTTGAACAACTTTCCATAAACTGAAACCACTGAATGTATTATAGCGGCCAGAACAACAGAATTCTCTAAAGTACAATTTCAGACTGCCAGTGCCCGGATATTACTCTCTGAAATGTTCTACATTTAAAAACAAGCATCTTAATAACGAGAACAGGCACACTAGAAAAACTTATTATCATGTTCTCTTTTATATGCCAAGGAATGTTTATAAGTGAGAGCACTTAAAAAGTCAAGGCCATATTCTCTCACTATCATATTTCGATATAATATTAGCCAGAATTCTATAGCCAAATGGATGCTGTTTAGCCACACTAAAAGCTGATGGGCAGAAAAACCAGAGGACACAGTACTGAGATTTGTTCCATCTGAAGGTAAAATAAAAGTCTTGGAGCTGAGGCAGCCTTTCTCTAACACAAACTTCAGAGAGCTCCATTTCAGCTACAACTAAAAGTTTACCATTTATTTATTGATAGATGGCAGCACTACATCAATCTTATCTGGGCCAGGAAACTATATAAAGGTGAGACTACCAAAGACTACCAAAGCTCTAAAGTAGTAAGTAACATTTCCTGCCATGAAAAGGGCATAGCCACACATACACTACACTATAAATCAAGTGTGGCTTAAAAATGTCTTTTCTTTTTTTATAGACAGGAAACTGGAGGCAGCAAAAAACAGGGCTCAACAGATCAACAGATGTTAAGAAGTGGTGCTTTAAGCTTGGAGCCATCTTGATATGGGGACACATCCACCAGTCTAACTCACAGAGCTAGAGAATATTTTTAACTGTTGAAAAAGCTTCTCTATCACCAAACCAGGTGGCTTGTTTTCTGATTCAGCCACTCCACTTTAAATCTCCATTCTTACTTAATTCTAATTAAGTATTTGTCTAAATATTAAGTATTTATCTAATACGGTACAAATAGACAGAAATAAGGTAATTACAAGGGTCTGATGTATAAAACCCATCATACAGAGTTCCTCCAATCTTTGGAGCGTGCCTTCAGGAAGAACAGGTGGCTGATTGGTTTTTGGTTCCTGAAATATTAAATGGAAGTGCTATGGAACAGTTAAAAAAGGAGATGCAAACACGACAATACCAGCTACAGCTTTACCAACATGTGATGAACAAAATGTGAGGGAGATACACCTGGTGGGACCCAGAAGAAGGGCCTTCTCTGTGGTAGCTCCCTCTCTCTGGAATACCATTCCCCCAGAGATTAGAATGGACCCATTCCAGCACTCTTTCAAAAGGCACTGAAGGCCTGGTTTTGCTAGCGGGCTTGGGGACCCCAGAGTGGGATGGAGCCCCATCGTCGGGGTGGGAGGGGGGGAGTTGGGGGTGATTTTTTCCCCAGATTTTGTTCTATTGTACTTTATTAATTTGATTCTTTTTGTTAGTATTTATTGTTTTTATTTTTTATTTTTGTTTTAAATATGGTTTTACATTGTGTAAGCCACCTCGAGTCGCCTTGCATGAATAGGCGGCAATATAGTTAAATAAATAAAAGGTATGATTGTTGCTAAAAATAAGGCTCATGGGCTGAATAAAAGGAGAGGAAGTTAGACCTTATTGGGTCTGTTCCTCAACTCCAAGGTACTGCAGCTGGTGTTATCTGTTTGTCTTGCTAATATACACAAGATCAGTTCTTAATAAAGTACTAATGCAGGGGTCCCCAAACTTGGCAACTTTAAGACTTGTGGACTTCAAATCCCAGAATTCTCCAGCCAGCCAAGTTGCCAAATTTGGAGATCTCTGTACTAATGATTTGGGTCATTAATGGATGAAGCAGCTTACCATACATTATATTTCTGATTTGCATAAGGCAGTGTTTATCAACTTTAAGATTCATGGACTTCAACTCCCAACTGTTGGAAATGTAACTACGCACAAGGAACATATTTTCACAAGTGGTGGACTTGCCCATGTGCTCAGAAGTTTTGGAGAAATATTAGAAATTGGATTTTAAATATAACAAAACAAAATTTAAAACTTGAACCCGAAACCTTTCTGCTAAGTATGATAGATTTAAACATGGAGAAAAAATATCAATATTTAATTTTGCACATCATAACTGCAGCCAGAATAACCTACGCACAAAACTGGAAACTGTCTTCCATTCCTTCAGAGGATATGGTAATTAAAAAAATACATGAATGTGCTAAGATGGATAGCCTAACCAAATTGTTAAAAAACAAACAAGATAGTGACTATTATGAAATATGGAACATTTGGTATGAGTGGTTAAAGAAAAGGTAATATTTGATATTTGGATGTTATGGAAATGACAGAAGACATGCATTTAATCATAAACTATATAGAGAAATTAAAACATTAAAAGAACGAAGGAGTTATTGTAACAAGACAGGTCACGTCAATGATAAAGATAAAGAAAAAAAAATTAACCATTGCTCAATATGTGCTGTAAAATGTGTGTGTGTGTGTGTGTGTGTGTGTGTGTGTTTTCTTAATTTTTCGCGGGTACTTACATGTATGGCATTCAGCTTTGTTCGGGTATTTTCCCACGTCATAGTAGTTGTGCTTTTAAAGTTGTAGCGATGTTTCGGCAGAATCTCATCTGCCATCATCAGGCTTCTGTATAGTGTTCATCTGTGAGTCAGGCTTTTACAGTGGTTTCAGATTTGAATTTGGGGCAGCCTATTGCTGTGCCAGAATGGTTTTTTCTTCATCCTGATTGGTTGAGAGTCTTGGTCTGTGTTTATTGGTCTTGGAGTTTGCTGTGTTCTGCTTGATTGGTGTTTCTAATATCTTCTGTCTGTTTTTTGGCTCTTTTTGTATCTTGATTGGCTGGCAACATTGTGTTACTTTATTGGAGGCTTTAGTGCAGCTTGGCTCCGGGTAAATGGACGGCTATCATTAGTTAGGAAGCTAGGTTTCATCTGGGTGCCTGGTTGGGGTGTGTTTGAGCTGGAGGTATCAGGGGGGATCTGTTTGTGCCCAGGTGTTTGCCTGGCTTGTGGTGTGGAGATTTTTTTGTTTGTAAGTGCAGGCTTCCAAATGATTGACAGTCTGGTGGAATCATCTCTTCTGTTCATGCTTACTGGTCTTTTTTCAATCTCTATTGCTTCTCTGATGATTCTGTGGCTGGGGTTTTCTATAGTGGCTAGGGTTTTGGTGCCATTGAAGTTGATGCTATGACCTGTGGCTTCCATGTGTTGGACTAGTGAGGAAGTGTGTTCCAGCTTTTTGACTGCATTTTTGTGTTCATCCAGGCGGGTACTTATTCTTCTATTGGTCTGTCCAATGTATGTGGCCGGGCATGATGCACAGGGGACTTCGTATATGCCTTGGTTTTCCAGGTCAATTTTATCTTTGGGGTTTCTGAGGATGGCTGCTATTTTTCTGTCTGTTTTGAAGGCAGTCTTGATGTGGTGTCTGTGTAGTATCTTACTAATTTTGTCTGTAGTGCCTCTTGTGTAGGGCAGGACAGCTGTTCCATAGGTCTGTTCATCTTCTGTGTCTCTATTATGTCTCAGTGTGTTTTTGTGGATCAAGCCGGTGATTTTGCTTTTGTGGAAGCTGTTGGCTGTCAGTACTTTGGTCAGGGTGCATAGTTCAGTCTTAATGTGTGTCTTGTCTGCCAGGCGTTTGGTTCTAGTAATTAGTGTTTTAGCCACGGAGTTTATCTGTGCTGGGTGGTGGTGGGATTGGGCGTTGAGGTAGCGGTTGGTGTGGGTTTTCTTCTGGTATATGGTGTGTCCTAGTGTGCCATCTGTTTTTTTGTAGATTAGTACATCTAGGAATGGTAGTTGTTTGTTTGTTTCCGTTTCCATGGTGAACTTGATTTTGGGGTGTATGCTGTTTAGGTGTGTTAGGAAGTTGTTTAGGTTTTCTTTTCCATGGGGCCAAATCACGAATGTGTCATCGATGTATCTTAACCATAGTTTGGGTTTGTGGATGGCATTGGCCAGGGCTCTGGATTCGAATTCTTCCATGAACAGGTTTGCAATGACGGGTGACAGTGGTGATCCCATAGGGGCTCCTTCAATTTGTTTGTATCTTTGTCCTTTGTATATGAAATATGTGTTGGTTAAGCAGTGTTCTGTTAGTTCCATGAGGTGTTTAGCTAGTTGGTATTTATTTTTGATGATTTCCAGGGTCTCTTTTATCGGGACTTGAGTGAATAGTGAAACCACGTCGAAGCTTACAAGCAGATCTTCCTGCTCCACATGTAGATCTTTGATCAATTCCAAGAAGTGGTATGAGTTTTGTACTCAGAAGCCTGATGATGGCAGATGAGATTCTGCCAAAACGTTGCTACAACTTTAAAAGCACAACTACAATGACGTGGGAAAATACCCGAACCAAGCCGAACACCATACATGTAAGTACCCGCGAAAACTTAA